GTTCTAGCCCACAAAAGCTTATGTCCAAATAAATTTGTTAGTCTCTAAGGTGCCACAAGGACTCCTCATTATTTTCAACAATGGCAGCTAATTTTAGGTGGCTCAGATTTTGGATACCCAAATTGAGACAGCTTGTGCATGAGCATCTACAGCTTCTGCTGATGCCAAATGGAGCTGCAGGGACTCAGCGCCTCTGAAAAATCAGGCCCACTGTACTTCAGCTGAGACCCAGAATTGGAAGCATCTGTAATCAGTGGCCTCTCCTGAAAACTTTGCCCATAAAGTCCTTTTGTACTTGGCCTGTCACTTGAGAAGGAGGGAGGGACATGTGTCACTCAAACCCTCCCTCACACACCAGGAGTGAGGGCTTGAGTCAGAACCAGTATCCAGCTGCAATGGCCTTGTAGGGGGTTCTTTGGCCAAACAAGGATGTTTATCCATGTGACAAGTTAGCTTCAGGCTTCAATGGGGGCAGGGCATCCGTCCATCAATGGGGTTCCCTGTTGTGTGGCCTGGGTTGGGGGCATTACTACAGCTTAGGGCCTATGGTGATATTTTTATTTCCAAGGTTAGAAGCTTAATTTCTCTGCCCCCTTTGTCCCAGGTACTAATTATGGGTAATGCTCTGAGAGCCAATTGGGCCCTTTATCACAGTGCTGGGGATCGTTGACTGCTGCTCCCAAATGGGAGAGAAACTTATGATGTATTTGTGTTGTGGCCCCGTTGGGTAGGGACTGCACTCACAAACACATGGTGAGAGACAGTCCCTGCCTCAGGGAGATTACAAGCTCCCCAGACAAGACAGAAGCTGGGAGAATGGGAGTATTATTGTCCCTCATTTCCCTGAGAACAACTGGTTTCCAGATTCATCCAGATATAGCTGAGCTCATGGGTGCTGCTGTGATCCCTCCCTGCCTTCCTAATAGGCTAAAGGCTCCTCCGACCATCACTGGCCCCACCTGACTGTTAGACCTACAAGGGTGGAAATCTGGTGTTGATACCTTGTTCTGTTTCCTCCTAGGTTCCAGAGACACGTGCACACCTATAGGATCCTGCCCGATGAGGAGGGGCTGCTATCTGTGCAGGTGGGTGGAGTGGGGTCCACTGGCTGCAGGTGGGAAGGAGGCAGCTATAGCAGAGATGCCCAGTCACTAGTATTGCTGTCCCTTGAATCTCTCTCCTTCGGGTATATTTAAGGCACCTCTCTCCATGGCCTCTAGGTGTGGAGATCCCCTGTTGGCTGCGTGATTTGGGGTTTGCACAGGAAGCAGATGTGGAAGGGCCCTGCCTTCACCCTCTACTCTGCAGGTGCAAACGGGAGGGACACAGCACTGGCAGCATCTGGGGATGGGACTAGGGGGTATATGTGCCTCCCTTCCTGCTGGGAGCCACAAGCTAGCACTGTGGTTTCCTTTCAGCGTAAGAACCTGCAGTGCTCAGAACCCACAGGATGTGTTTCCTTTGCACAGACGCAGTGCGTCACAGCCTCAGACTCATCTCTGGTACGGCCTTGCGCTCAGCAACAGCCTGGGAATGCAGCTCGCTGGCCGCTCCATGCTGATGTTGCATGCCTGCATTAGACGTTACTGTCATAACTGGGGTGGCTCTAGAGAGACATCTACTCCTCCCCATTTCCTTTCTGACCCATCTTCAGTTTCTGCTGGATACAGGATTTTTGTTCACTTCCTGTCCTAAACTGCTGTGTGGGATTGGGTGACAGCTCTCAGAAAACAGTGATCACATCCCATCCCAGAGGTGTTCCCTTTTATAGCCCTGCACGGTTCCACCCACTCAGATCAGACCTTGGCTCTTAGCATGTCCCCACTTCTCCCCTTATTTGTGCCAGTGGCACCAGCCTCCCTGCCTCTTTGGGTCTTCCTCCCATTCCCATCTGTCTAATGGCTGCCAGGTTGTCCCCTTGTGTGTGGAATGATCTCCCTGTCCCAGGGCCCCCATCCTCTCCTCACTCAAATCTCTCCTAAAGACGGATGCCCATGAACAATAACCCACATTAGGCAAACTCCCTCCCTCCCCGGCACGATGTCAGGGCAGAGGAGAGAAATCTAAGGCTGTTTAATGTTCTAAGTGAGCGCCCTCCCCAGCTCCCCTGGGTCTTGTGGAGTGTAAGTTCCTTGGGACGGGAACGGAAGTGGAAGTGCCAGGCAGTGAGCCAAGTCAGGCTCATTAGCTGCATGTAACAGAGAAATATTGTATGTTTCGAATCCTTCCTGGGCTGGCTGCAGGATGCCGTGGGTATCCAGAGTCTGGGGTGGGACGTGCCAGAGCAACAGCCATTCTTCTTCTTCCCTTAGACCATCCAGGGCATCCAAGCCAAATGCTTCCGCACCCTGACTGATCTAATAGGGGCCTACCAGCAGCCCAACAATGGCCTGGTGATCCCACTGCTCTACCCTGTGAACAGAGCAAGAGAGCCAGTGGATGAGGACTCTGGTGAGTCTGGAGGGACTGGGGGGTGCGTGTGTGGTGAAGGGAGCATTTGGGGGGCTGGATGAAGCCATGGGCTAGGAAAGGAAAGGAAATGGGGGATGTGGAGGGTGCAGATCGGCCATTCAGCTCCCCAAGAGAGTGAATTATAGTCTCCCCAGCACCTAATTGTGCCTGGGGGTCATGGCTTAAATGGGGTGTAACATTCCACTCACCCCACACCTCCTTGACCCAGCAAGGATGCTGGACACAATGGGGAGATCAGGGGTGGGCTTGGGGGAGGAGAAACTGGTTACTTCTCTCTCTTAAGATGCTGTGCCTTTGTGTTTGCAGATGGTGAAGATGGCAGAGCCAGCCACCCTCCAAGCTTGGTGCCTCACAGTGGGAACATCGCGGGCAGCACCAGTGGGTGGGTTACCGCTCAGCCAAACAAGGCCCAGATATCTCAGCAGCTGCAGCTGAGGCTGCAGGAGCAGGTTCACAGCAGGTACTGCCTGGCACTTCCACACCTCACAGAGCAGGTAGCAAGCCCTATATTTTGGGACGTCCAGAGGCTGCTGGAGAGAGTTACCAGTGCACGTGTGAGGAGAGCTTCCCTTCCTGCTCTGGAGAGTGGAAACTGTCCCATTGGGAAGGGCGAGGCCACAGCAGTGAGGGGGGGAATTGGACAGCTCGATTAAAGGACACAGTGGGAGCTGTACCTCTAGCACCTGCCTTTGCCCACAGGTGGCACTAGAACACCCCTTCTCACCCAACCCCACATGGTGAGAGTGAGATTGGAGAGCTCGGGGTCACTGGCAGCCAGCCCTGTCTTTTCCCTGAGGTCTGCAATATCCGCTGACTTTCCCCATCGTGGTGCCAGCGGCAGTACCTGCATCAGCACAACCTGGGGCAGGTAGCTGGGGCTCTCAATAAGAAATTCACTCACACGCTCACACATCCCCACCTGTTGCAGCCCGGCCAGCGATTTCATGGGATTCATGGCCGAGTACCTCAGCCACCACTTACAGCTTGACCTGGAGGCCCTGAGGAATGGAAACCTGCAGCTGAAACACCTGAGCACAGCCTTAGTGACCGCCTGCCGTGGGCTGCACAGGTGAGCAGTGGAGGGAAAGGAAGTGGGCTGGGGATAGACTCATCCTAGTCTGAGGCAGAAAAGCCCCATGAGGTCCCAGGGCTGGGTTGTTCTTTCCTGTCTGTTCTCTAGAGACAGGACGTCAGGTTTCTCTAGAGACAGGACATCTGTCTCATATCCGGCCCTCTCAGTCCTTCCTCTGGGCATCTCATCTGTGCTGGGTACAGATGCTGTCTGCTACTTTAAACGCTGGCAGGCTGTTCTCTGCTGGGTAAAATTGGCATCTGCTGCTTTGAATACCTTCCCCTAGGGGGTCTCGTATATGCTGGGTACAGATGGCACCTGCTGCTTTGCCCTTTTAGTTTGGCTCTGTGTCCTGCAGCCAGTGAGAAATGTGTGCATTTCTTCTTGTGTGGGTGCTGGGGGAGTGTGGTTCGCTGAGCTCATCCACAAGCCGAGAAATCCCTACCCCAAAGGTCTCATGCTGTTCCCTTTGCTTGGTCTCAGCCCTAATTACAGCCCCTTTCCCACTCCCCCTCAGTGGCTGCATCCTTCAGATTCAAGTGCCTAAACAGCAGCTGTGTTAGCAAGTAACTGCAAAGCACGCCCACTTCGCAGAGCCGAGTCCCCCTGCAACAAGGCTTTAAATCTGGAGGCCCTGGCAAGATGCCGCAGCCAGGCCTCAGCCACCTCTGGAGACTGGAAGGCTCAGGGCAGCAGGGGTTCCAGCTCAGACATTACCGGCCTGAGGCTGCTGAACTAGCCTCCTGCACCACTTCCCTGAGCCCTGCAAACCAGGAAAGGGCACGTCTGTAATCCAGCCCTCAGCAACCTCCTCATTTTGAGTCAGCTGCAGGGCACTGTGATGGGGCTTCTTAGGCAGTTACTGTCCCTGTTGGGACTCTGGGAGGGGCCTGATACCAACCCCCCCTGAGCTTTGTGAAGTCTTAGGCCCAGCCCTGCTTAGACTCCTCCGGCACTGAAAGTGTCTCTGGTTTGCTGCACTCTCTGGTGGGAAGGACCTGCTCCTGGCACTGAGGTGTCAGGTGGCACCACCTGATGGCAGTCCCCACCAGTAAGACAGAGGGGCCTGATGTAGGATTGCTGCCCCCAGCCCGGCTTCTCTGAATGGATGTGATTGGTGGCTTATCAGGACCTGGGATAGGACCAGCAGGGGTGTCCTGGTGAACGGCTCCTCGGACCACACAGAGCTTCCCCACTCAGTGCTCTTCTCTCTGCAGTGAGATTGACTTCACGCTGGCTGGTTTAGAGACTCTGGCCAAAGTGTTTGACCCTCCAGCTTCCCCTCGGAGCCCCGTAAGAGAGCAGGTGAGCCCTCCCCTTCCCCGAAGTGCTGGCCCAGGGCAGGGAGCCTCATGGTAGGCGACAGCACGTCTCTGCATCTGAGCCTGGCCTGGAGGGGGAAGTTGGTCATGGGGGATTTCATTGTTCGGGTTTGGGTTTCCTGCATATCTGCACCCATAGAGGGCACCATGCTCCTTTCCTGGAGCGAGGCCGAGCCAGCTGCCTATGTTCATGAACCAAGTGCTAAAGCTCAAATCCAGAGGGAGTTCAGATGCAGCAGGCTAGATGCTACAGTGAAGGTTGGAAATTGCAATGCAGGGACCTGGGAGAGGAAGAATACTTCAGTGATGGGGCAGGTCAGGGATCTGGTCTGGGACACCTCAGCTGGACTGACCCAGAGCATGTTGATGAGGTTTAACAAGGACAAGTGCAGAGTCCTGCACTTAGGAAGGAAGAATCCCATGCACGGCTACAGGCTGGGGACCGACTGGCTAAGCAGCAGTTCTGCAGAAAAGGACCTGGGGATTACAGTGAATGAGAAGCTGGATATGGGTCAGCAGTGCCCCCTTGTTGCCAAGAAGGCCAATGGCATATTGGGCTGTATTAGTAGGAGCATTGCCAGCAGATCAAGGGAAGTGATTATTCCCCTCTATTCGGCACTGGTGAGGCCACACCTGGAGTATTGTATCCAGTTTTGGTCCCCCCCAGTACAGAAGGGATGTGGACAAATTGGAGAGAGTCCAGTGGAGGGCAACGAAAATGATTAGGGGGCTGGGGCACATGACTTATGAGGAAAGGCTGAGGGAACTCGGGTTATTTAGTCTGCAGAAGAGAAGAGTGAGGGGGGATTTGATAGCAGCCTTCAACTACCTGAATGGGGGTCCAAAGAGGATGGAGCTAGGCTGTTCTCAGTGGTGGCAGATGACAGAACAAAGAAGCAATGCTCTCAAGTTGCAGTGCGGGAGGTCTAGGTTGGATATTAGGAAACACTATTTCACTAGGAGGGTGGTGAAGCACTGGAATGGGTTATCTAGGAAGGTGGTGGAATCTCCATCCTTAGAGGTTTTTAAAGCCCAGCTTGACAAAGCCCTGGCTGGGATGATTTAGGTGGTGTTGGTCCTGCTTTGAGCAGGGGGTTGGACCAGATGGCCTCCTGAGGTCTCTTCCAGCCCTAATATTCTATGATTCTAAGATCTGCCTGGGGGTGGAGACCTGTGTCCTGAGCCAAAGCCCCCCATGCTGTTCCAGCCCCAGCCTGCCCTCACTGCTCTGCCTGTGCGCCTCAGTCCTGCTCCGCAACTCCCTGCACAGACCTATGCACAAAGGTGCTAATTGTGCTAAACTGTGTGTGCATGTTTTAGTTCCATAGAGAAGTGTCTCCAGACCTTCCCAACTCCTTGCTAGTGACCCAAAGTGTAGTTAATAACCATTAGCGTAGGGTGACCAGATGTCCCGATTTTATAGGGACAGTCCCAATATTTGGGGCTTTTTCCTATATAGCCTATTACCCCTCACCCCATCCCAATTTTTCACACTTGCTGTCTGGTCACCCTACATTAGAGAGCCTTTTTTTTTTTAGTTTGGCAAATAGTAAATTTTCTGAAAAATGCATTTGTGGGGCACCAAAACTATTCAGAAATTCAGCAAATAGTTTAGGCTGAGAATACCTAAAATTAAAAGTTTCAGAAATGTCAAAATAGTTTAAAAAAAAATCTCAATTCACATCAACCTCCAAAATGCTTTGTTTGACCCAAGCAACATGTTTTTGTGTTTTAATAAGAAAAAAAAATCAGTTTGGACTCAATGATTTTTTCCAGATTTTTCAGTTTAGCTACCAAACTTGGGGGGAGAAAAACAGTTATTCATGCAGCTCTAATCTCCATAGGTACTGAAGTGACCCTGGAAACTCACCAAGGTTTCTGGACACGTCCACTACAGTTTAATCTGTCATTGCTGCTTTAAGAGCACCAGGTATCAGAATTTGTCTCTCTTTCTGTTCAGGGTCTCTTGGCCAGCGATCCAGACCTTGAACTGCTCCTCAGCAAGATCTCCACTGTCAACCACCTGCTCTCCTCTCTAGAGAAAAAGGTGCCTAGTGGGTTTGTAATCTCAGCACACATCGCTAGGGCTTGGGACCATTCCTCTGCAAAGAAGGCCAGGGGTACAAGTTTGCCACACTGCAGCCATGGCACATGAACAGTGCATTTACCATGGATTAAGCTACAAAAAGAAGGCAAAGAAAGCAGAAGTTAGAATTCCATTAAATATAGGCAGGTTTAGAATTTAAGATCCTAGAAGAAGTCAACTTAAATTACAAGAATTATAGCAAAAACCTTTGAAGAAATACCCCTTTATAAATTCCCCCATGAAGGGTAGAAGAGCTACTAATTGCAACCTTTACTAATGTCCCCTAGCTCTCCAGACTAGAATAAGCTCCTTAAACTTGAGCAAACTCCCAGGATAAATTAAAACTCCCAGACAGAGCAAGTTTCTATGAGGTTGAGCTCCCAGACATTAGAGACCCCTTCAGGAAGGGCACAGGCCTCTCATTAAATTGGAGGAAAGGGAATTCCTTCCCCCTGGAGCATGCTTTATAGTTCCTTAGTCCCACCCCTAACAGGTTCTAGCCAATCAGCCTCCTCCACCTTACTCACAACACACATTACCAATTTAACACTTTCACAAACCAACCTCTGCCTCTGGGTCTCCATGCTCTTTGTGCTGGCCCACTGGGTCACCTGGTTCCCAATTCCTGCTCACTTTTGCTGAGATCCCTGAGGTTTCTATCACAAGCAGTGTGACATTGCCACTCCTGCGGGACAGCCATGAGGGACAGATCTGTGTCATTGCTTCCTTCCTAGAGCAGGGCATTGTGATTTGTAGCCAAGCCATTGCTCTGGATGCCTCCATGGCGAAGCTGACAGAGTCTGTGTATGGCTCTCTCAAACATGAGCTGTTCACCTTGTCCCCTCCCTGGGTGATTGGAGCGCTGGGCGGGAGGGAGCACATTCTGCTGACTGTTGCCTGGGTTCTTCACATTGATGGCTCCAGCACTGCCTAGTCAATACATGCCAGATAGTGCCAATAGCTGATGGGTAAATTCAGGCTCCAAAAGGGGAGGTGACTGATTGCAAGCAAGTCAGTGGCAGGGCCAGAAACAGAACCCAGGGCTCCAGTCTTCCCCTCTGACTAGTAGATGGTGTTGCCTTCACTTTAATCTGTGCAGACACAGAGAAAACAGCATGTGGTACCTCATCAGGACCCAATTCCAAAGTTCCCCCTGTCACTTGTTGTGCTTAGCAGGAAGCCCCATCCATGCCCTGCAGTCAGCAACATGTTAGAATCTCCTGCTCCCACTAGACCCTAGTTCGCCTGCTGGAAAGGCAGCTGGATTTGAACCCCCTCCCTTGTACAGCTGGTCTCTCTGTTTGTGTCTCTCAACACCTGCCTGTCTCTGACTCCTTCTCTGTAGGTGCTGAAGACACTGCAGGAGACAGTGACCAAGCACAAACTGGCTCTTCCCAGTGTGGCTGTGGCGCACCCCCCTGCTGCCAAGCCCATGGCTGTGCAGAACTTTGAGGTAAGAGAGGTGCTTAGGTGTGGCGAGCTTCACTGCACTGCTCCCTTCAGGGGCTTTGATGGGGCCTTTCCCAGCACAGGCAGAGACTAGAGTGGGTATGATTAGCTTGGGCCCTACATAATGTGGGTCCTGCAGCTTGTGGGCCAGCTGGGCAGTGGGATTGTAGGAGAGTCAACATGGGGTGTGATTTCCCCTTCAGACAGATGAGAAAGCCAATCTGGGGGGAGGGGCAGGAAGTCTGTGGGGCTGCCCTTCTCCTATTCTCCAATGGACAGCGGGAGCTAGCATGAGAAGAGCTGGTTTATACCTGCCACAATAAATTGGGGTTCAGACACAGGGTGTGGAGGAAGCCAGCCTCCATGCAGCTACAGCACCTGCCTAGTGAGCTCAGCGGGGTGCCATGCGAGCAGTGCCCCTCCAGGAGAGGGGTAGCCCCCGGCCCAATTGTATGCGCCAGGGAGATACAGAGATAAAGGGGCATACATTCCCTGCTCCTGCCCTCAGTTGCACCCAACTTAGTTGCACCTGCCTCAATAACCTAGTTCCTTGTGCTGCAGGTGAAAGTGGGCAAAACACAGAGGGCCTCCCTGACAGTGGACGTGGAGTCTGGGACAATGGCCATCACAAAGAGGGGCTGCAGCTCTCCAGAGGAGACCATCTCTCAGGACAAAAGTAGGGGAAACCCCTTCAGTCCATTGACTTGGAGTAGGCCTTGGAAGGTTGTTGAGTAATTGGCCCATTGTTGAAGTAGACCCCTGGGAGAAGCAGCAGTGAGAGGTCAAGAATACTCTGTGGTGCACAAATGGAACATGACCACCACTAGGCTTCCTGGCTGAAGCCAGGCCGATGGGCTCCTTCACCCAGGGTAATCTGCTAAACAGTTATCCCAAGGACGGGAGGGATAAGCCAGATCCTACTGGATGCACACAGGAGCCCCGCTTGGTGAGCTCAGTGCTGGCTGCCTTTCTGCAGCGTGACATCCTGGGGGAGTGAGGGGCAGCCGTATCCACACCCCTCTGTGTCATGCTGAGAGGCAGCAGCAGTGCCCTTCCTTAGGGGTGTATTGGCCGTGCTTTTGGGGGTTGTGCCGTTCTGTGTCTCACTGTTGCTGGTGTGGCTGTCTTCAGTCTTGCAGCTGATTAAATACCAGAGCATGCAGAGCAAAGTGAGGCTAGTGTATGACAGAGACCAGCACAGAAGCCTGACCAGGGACTTCATCTTCCAGAACGCACGGGTAAGGGATCCTCCCAAGGTCTGGGCTCCCGCCAGCTTCACTGCAGCAAAAGACTAGGGCCAGGCCTCAGACCACAGGGCTGTATTTGCCCCCGGTGCAGACTAGCCCTGTTTGTGGGCTGGCATCCAGGCTCTCTCTGCCTGGCCTCTGAGAATTGCCTGGTAGGAAACCCACTTATGCTCTGCTGT